GGGTTAATTTAGGGTGCATTTGGGCTTCAAATTTTTGGCCAAATGACTCCCAAGACACCCTAGATGCTCTCCTCTCTCTATAAGTACTCTAGGCCATGCACCTTGTACACACTTTGGAATGTATGCATTTTGAGTGAGCCTTTGTGCCTCAAAAGCCTTCCTTAGTCTCGTAGGGTCCTCACGCCCAACCTCATCTCCTCTCTACCCTAAAGAGAGTTTGAGTTCCCTTGAGTGGCCTCCACCATTCCTTGGTGGAGAGCGCTAGCCAAGAGCACCATAAACACTTTCCACCTTCCTTTCTCCATTTTCGCCCACCTTGACCTCCACCCTTGAATATAGTTTTTCCACCACCCTTGAGGAACATCCAATCATCATCCTTCCTCCTAGTCCGTGGAGAAAGAGGGAGCTCCTCCTTGGAAGCCAAAGCACAAACCATGGAAGGAAGGAGCCCATTAATTATTTTTAACAAGTTTGTTAAGATGTCATTATGAAAATCATGTGACTTAATTTGTAGCTTAAATGGCAAGCTTGGCATGGTTTGGACACCCAAACCACTTGCATGAGCAAGTGAACATCTAAACCTATGGGCCATAAAAAGCTTTGGGTCATCCAAGCGCCCAAATAAGTCTAATAAGACTTTGCTAGTTACACCTCACCTAATCTACTAATTACACCCTCAAGTAATACAAGGACAAAATTATGTACACTACTTGACCCAAAATACAAGGCCAAAAATATCCTAATACAATAATTACTAAAATGAATTACAAGTAAGAAAAATGTATAACAATAATAAGAGTCCTTGAAGGTAAGATAAACCTCCAATGGTGAGGTACCCTTCAAAATAAGGGTATTTTTACTACAATTCTTCAAACCAACTTTATCATCCTTTACCCTTTTTAGTCTTATCTCTTCCAAAGGGATCCTTAGGAAGTAGGTTTCCATCAAAATCACATTTTTAACTTGTTTAAAACACGGGGGAAATAACTAAAATTACAAGAATTAAAAAAAAATGAACTAATGCTTTCAAAATTAAACAACAAAAACAAAGTCCTAATTTAATCTTAACTACGTCCCGATGTCACATGTCCTATCAGAGCAAAACCCAACACTAAGCCTAAGCCTCATGAATATCACACATTATGTTCTTAGACATCGTTATCACCAAAATACCCAAATTCGTTAACAATTAATTCACATCATAACTTATTTACAATAGCTTTCTCCCATGATTTATATTTCTTAAACATGGATATAGGTATTTAAATCATTTGTAAGATCAAACACTT